CTATACTATACTATACTATACTATACTATACTATACTATACTATACTATACTATACTATACTATACTATACTTGATAAAGTGATATAGGGATCATGCCGTGATCCAGTGTTCTTATTTCAAAGTATCAAAAGATTCTTTACACAAAAAGGTACTGATTGTACAACCAATGAATGACTTAACCATAGTAAAATAATCAAAGCCACATTTTATATAGTATTTTGTACTTTATCCCCTTGACTAGTTGACGCGCCTGACGCGTATTTGCGTGGAGTCAAAAGTTATGCAACGTTTGCTGAATGCTGGCGTTCCACATATGGTACATAGATAGTATGGGGGTCATTTTTGTCAGCAGGATTATCCTTCAGTTATCCATTTCCGTGGATATCCCGTACATTCTTAATGACGTTCCAATCTGGGTGTTAAGCTGAGTCTGGTTGGCATATGACCACCCTACTGTTGCATTACCTGTACATGCAGTAGCATTATCGTGCTAAAACATAAATGGGTGGTCATAGTCCCCAAAGATAGTCTCGACAATATTTGGATGCATGACTCTGCGTAAAGGCTTCCGTTGACCACTGACAGCATGCCTATACAATGGTACTGGTAGACTATAAAATATACCCCTCACTCTGGAGCCGCATCAAAATAATAATTAGTCTTTAGGGAGTTCAATAAGATTATATCACGTTAAATAGGTCAATGCTCTAGCATTGACATCCCCAATTTACACAAAGATCGGTTTCGCTGCTGTTATGGGATTGTAAAATTAAATCCATGGGTACCCTTGTTGCAATGAATATAATGGCGGTAGGGGTGACACATTATACAGAAAATCTTAATCACGGGTTTTTCACGTTCAATTATCAGTTGAAAGTAACATTTTGATACCCATGCATTTATTTACAGATCAGTTCCAATGCCAATATTTTACAGTACGTGTTTTTTGTGGCAGCGGGAGGGCTGGGCTTCATTGAGTGGATAGTAGCCATCGTGTCCGCCTCCGTCTGCTGTTGCTGCTCGCCCATAGACCAGCAAGAAACGGTATTTTTGGCCTTTTTATTCTAAAACCATTAATTTAAGTTGAAATTTTTACAATTTTTTTTTCATTTAGTATATTTTATAGTTAAACAGACACAAACACACCCAAGAGAGAGAGAGAGAGAGAGAGAAGGAGAGATGTATTACATTGTACACTGTGGTATTGGTGTTTTCTCATTTCAGCAAGTTCTCTATATACCGGGCAGTGTACCGGGTCAGCCCTACTATCCAATGATAAGTACCGCCCAACAACAGCAACAACAGCTCCCACCACAGTCTCAACACTACATGTCACCCACTGCCCCTATGGGATACCAACAGCCAGGTCCACATACCCCGTACCAAACAGCCGGAGGGCCCTCCTACCAGAATCCAAACTACCAGCAACCTGGAGGTAACTGGACTTAAGAGAAATCAAAACACACTGAGGCTTTTGCCCGCGGAGAAAACTTCTATTGACACTATAAGCGTACTCCGAGTGCACTGACTGAAAAGCAGAAATAAGAAGATGAAGACAGTGACACTAATTATGGTAGTTCACCGCCCACTGAAACCAAGCAGTAGCAAGGTTCTGACAGTTGTTATGGCAACGTTAACTACATTATCAAATCAGAACTCTTATATGCCGTCTGCAATATCAAATCACTAGTACATGTACATAGCAACTTCTTTTTTTTTTTTTACAGTTTATGCATTTTAACATGCAGCGCAGCCAAGCACGTCTATGGGTGCTTTCCAAATGTAGCTATCGTCCTACAAATATTGATCCAACTCCTCAGGGACTCCCGCTGAATGTAATATGATTAATTGAATGTCACGCTTCCTCGAGCAGCTAGGGGTGATGAACTATCGTGTGCGTTCGATCGCACTCAAAACGAAGCGAAAAAGCTTCCTGAAGCCGAGGAAATCACCTCTAAATGACGTGGCAACCGCTCACGTCGTGGTTATACACTGGAATAGGCCGAGATCATCAGACGATTGGTGAATGGGTTTCGCCCTATACAGCTTTTTTGCGGGCCACGTTGCTGGACGCGTGTTTGAGAAACAGTCGTTCCCCTGGCGCGGAATACAAGCCACATTAACTTGTGTAGATAAAGCAGATGCATCAATGACTTATTTTCATGCATGGCGTAAAATATACACAAAGCTGTATTTTGTAATCCAGATATATATGTGTATGTGTGTGTGGCATTCAGAGAGCTCAACTATGCGGATAATTTATATATATAACTAAAAATAAATAAACATCAAACGTGTCGGATACTTATTTATTTACTTTAATTATATATATATATATATGAACATAATGATAAAGACCGCTGTTTCTTTAACTAAGGACCCGGCTCCCTGGATTACTTACCATCCACCTCCTGTTTTTCTTACCTTTCATTAACACGCTCTAAGTGTTGAAAATATACAGTTCTTTTAATTGAACGAAATTAATAAAATGTAAAATGTTAACGATAACTCAAACATAATGTGGTACGCATAGGTATTGCGCCACTGATCCCACAGCAGCTCACAGGAATTTGTTTCTATTTGACTTTGTCATTATACCCTTACCCCTATATTCACTTGGTGCCACTCAGGTTTTGTGCACGTGCACAGCCATAGTTCATTACAATGCGCGCACTGCATTATGTGCAGTCCATACCGCGGGTTTATTATTGCAAAACATTGACCCCGATGACAAAAAATTCCATTTTTTGAGCTTGGAATAAATGTAACTCTTAACAGGAATATGTAATTGAGTGATTAGTGGATACAAATCTGGAGAACAACATTTTTATCATATCTCTACAGGTAAGTCCTTTTGGCTAAACAGTATAGCCCTTGTGTCATGTTTACCAACGAAGCGACAGTTATTGATTCAACAAAGATTTAGGTCATGTCTTATGAATCGGTTGAGGCTGCTTACTGAGGGCATGACTGAGGACAAGCTTTATAACTAAGTGGCGCAACATTCATGTGTGCTCATAAGTGGGAATTAGTTTTAAAGTGTCGTGCATTACCTGAAACCATTCTGTGAAGCTAGGGCGCTCACTGGCTGGCTAAGCGGTGAAGACGGTAAAGAAGCAGAGGAAAATCGGCTACACAATCAAATTTGAAAAAAAAAAACAAACACTTAGGTAAGTCAAGAAGACATATCTACTACTGCGTCCCTCGCTTTTTCTCCCTCTATCTTATCTCTTTCATTCTCCTTCTCTCTTTCTGTGTCAGCATCGGAAGAAGAATCAAGGTTAACGTCATGTTTTCAATGACTTATTATTTTTCGATAAACTGTATTCAAGAAAACAAAAAATTAATTCAAATAAAAGGGGATGTTGGCCATGTATAGATCTGGGTGTGGTGACTCTTGACAAAACCGCATTTGAGCGAATCGTATGTGGTGATACTCGCTCTTTGATGTCGCAAAGGCTCTAAAACGGACGTTGTAGGATTGACAAAATGATATATTACACTGACGTTATAGCATTTGAAATATATATCAGTTATGCACCAAAAAAGATGGCGGGTTCAAACTGAAACACCCCTGGCCAACGCAACGTAACTTTCTTCACAGTCATTTTTGTCCGACTTTGAGGGGGTACACGGCTGATACCTTAAGTGTAAACATATATCCTATATATCAAAAATAAAGCGTTCAGGTGTGATATCTACAATTGCTTTCCCTTTGCCACACCTGTGCTTGCTACCTATGCTTTTCTCGAACCCTGGATTCCGCATTGTGTCTGTCGTGCTATCATAACAACTGTAACCAAATAGTGCGGCTTTGGGTTTCATTCAAGCACCTTTCCTGTCGTTTATTTAGGTCACAAGTTAGCGGTAGGTGGAATTCGTATAGTGTATCAGTACTAGTACTTCTGAATAGTTCTTGAAGTAAAAAAAAAAAAAAAAAAAAAACAGAGTGGGTGTCATTTCTCATGGTGAATCTAATTTATATTCCTTTGTTTGTATTATATTTCTTTTTAATATTAATATGTACAATTAAAATGTTCATTTGTACGTATATATGTGCATTGCCTGCATTTTGTTTAGAAATATCTCTGGAGAGAGAGAGAGAGAAGGAGAGATTAAAGCCACGATCAGTTTCTAAACTAGTGGCAGATAAAAAAGTCCATACGTGTATATGATCATGGAAATATGTCGTTTTATATTTCAGTGATACCTGTATAATGTACACCTACCCTGAGTGTCAGAGCACAGTAAAAGCTAGCTTGTTAAATATCTTTTGATGTGATTGCTTTTATTAGTTTGCTGATATGGGTTATATATGAAATCAAGATCGAGCTGGCAATACGGAAATGTAGAACCTAGGGTATGTACACCGTGAATAGTGGCAGTTTTAAAAGGAAAGAAGAGGAAGAAAAACAATCTACAGCACACTGCAAATACACCCTTATTTTCTTTCAGACTGACAATGAACGCAAGCCATACCCAGTTGGTTCAGGCGGCGCAGCCACCAGACCGTTTTCCTTACCGGTCCCTCAAATGTTTGGGTGGGTTCCAGATTGCTCTGGGACTCCTTATAATAGGATGTGGCGCGACCGACCTAAACCTGAACTATTTTAACATTGGGCAAATTAACAGCTATTATTATCGCGACGGCTACTACTACAGAACTTATTATGGCATAGCTCGCACCTTGACCATGGTCAGTGCTCCGATATGGTGCGGTGCCTGGGTAAGTTTTTATTTTCTAATTTTTATTAATACCAATTACCCTCCAAATACTTTACATTATAGACCGACGAGACTAATTACTGTATATAATTAATAATATAAACGTTTTTGCAATGAATCTTATTACCAACTGGTCCAATTAAGGCAATTAATTCTCACAGTATATATTAACATACATATCAAGTAAAAAAAGATTATCTACAAGGATTTTATGAAAGACAATTAAAACATTTTCTAAAGAATTTATTTTAGTAAATGTAACTCGTACTTTTAATAGTGCTTACATTTAGTAACATACCTGCTCTTGTCAGATCTTCAGCTGTTGGATACTTGTCCTGAAGTTTGATGCCTAGAAAAAATGACTAGTTTTTAGTTGATTGATAGCGGTTGACAATATTCATTTTTCTAGTCTAAAACAAATGTTATACGAATCTATGTCTCTTTTTTAACTTTCAGTTTTCCTTCACCGGTATTTTCGGCGTTTGCATCTCAGAAAATCGACAAAATTACAAACGATGCCTGGTGAGTAATTACAGAAAAAAATTAATCAAAAGATGAATTAGTATATTAGTATAAATTTACTTATCGTTTGATTGACGGACTTATTTACAGAGTAGCTGGCAAATTAGTTGCACGAAGAATCAAGGAGTAATAAGCCTAGGCAATAATGATAAAGAAAGAGGGAGAGATAGAAAGGGAGAGATGAATTTTATCAAAATGAACGTTACTTATTTTTAATATCTTAAAAGAAGCAGGGGTAATTTAAACGGCTACCTACATGTATGGAATGTCAATAAAATTGTTCCTCATCATTCATCTTTTCGCTACACGTAGGCAGCACATCTGTTCTGATAGGTTTTGAAAGTCAGTTATCGTGGAATACGGCCCTCCCCTCCCCTCACTCTGACTGCCAGTTAATTACCTACCCCCGGATGTGGAGAACTTTAAGAGGAAAAAAACACCCTATGACGTTATGACTTGACGGAAGATATTTCTCCCAAAACAAGCTCACGAACAATATGTGGGGCTTCGATTTGAAACCATACAACTTTTGTGTTTTTAATCTCCAAATACTTAAAAAAAAAACAATAAAGCTAATAAATAGGCCGTCGACAAGAACCTCTTATATCTTATCTTTTAAATTAATTTTTATTGAATATCACAATAATAAAAGAGTCGCCTTTTGATGTACGCTCGGCTATAAACTCTAATTAAAAATATCCATTTTTACGAGATTTCAAATTTCAAAAATTAGAACAGGCGCTCCAAAATCGTAAGATAAAGTTAATTTTTTTTATATTGGTTGAGTTCGCCCCCGACTAGAATATCCTCACAACTTTATCTGCAATTAAATTTCCTACGATTGTTCATGTATTTTGCAATATAATTTTCAATCTGCCCGATGAAGAATTTTATTAATCAAGAGTGGGGGAGGGGTGTAAAATCCCCTTGGGGCCACATATAACACTATAAATGCAAAGGGAATCACCCTTACAATGACGGCAAAATGAATGTTAATCAAAGGAAAGTCCGATGGATTTGCTTTTTAAAACATACAATCAACAGAATATTTCTAATATGATTTCTCAAAACAACACCAGAAAGCAACTAAATCAAATCAACCAGACGGTAAACACCGGCAGGCTTTGTCAATTTCACCATTTGTTTATTTCAAACAGCTTACTTTTCGCGCATGCGCAGTAGTTTGAGACCTATGCGGTTGTATCGCTGAGATATATTACACTCGGTGCGAACAGGTTTCTACACTGAAGTGAATTTATGATAATATACAATGTATATACTATTATGTATGCTCCTTTCACATTTACTTTCACTTTCTGTTTCAGCGTAACTCTTTCCAGACGTTTTCAATCCTCGCTGCCATTATCTTCGCTCCGACTGTGATGGGGGTAGCGATTGCTGCATCTTTATTTAGAGTAAGTATGACCCAAAGTGACAACATGTAATTATAGCTTTTTTTTTACTCCGACCACAGGATGCGTTACTTGTCCGTTACAAAAAAAAATTAAATTAAAAAAAAATTAATATTGCATACTATTTTAGAAGCCCTCGTAGCAGAGGGCGTAAGAGCACATTTAGAACAGCGTGGACTAACTGTAACAGATCTGAGGATCAAGCATGGTGACCAACTAAAAGACTTGCCACTTTATCCCCAATTATAGACACAAAATACATTCCCCGCGGGGATTACAAAACAAGTATTCAAGTGGTCGGGCATAGTTGTTCCTCGGATCTCTTATAGTCTAGATGATTGGTGCAAAAATTGCTCAGAAGGTGGAAAAAGCATGAAACTTGGCAAAAATGCTATTTGGACTTTGCTGATAATTTTCAAGGATAGTGCTACTGGGGAAGTGATTTACCTCAGTAACAAGCTAATTGGACCTTTCTTCTCCAGTTTAAAATATTTTGAAAGGATTTTAATAATGTTTCAGGCCATCAAACCTATCACTATACAATTTTAAGCCATTAAAAGCCCAAACAAGCCATTGCAACAGTTGCTAGGCAGCATATTACCCTAGCAACAAGTATTTAATAATATATATTGTTTTTTGTATACATATAAACAACAGATACAATTATTCTGTAGTATTTAAAATATCCTCCAGTTCCTTCCCATCTTTTTGTCCCCATTCTATATATACTTCATATTTCTTTTAAGATTTTTTTATTAATCTTTTTATTTTTATTATTTTCATTATTCTTATTTTTATTAATTAAAATTATTAATATTAATATAGGTACATAAATACTGCAAAATTCACAAATTCATAAGATAAGCATAAGTATTGAATATTCTATGATTTATTCTGAATTGGAGCGTCTTGAGTTTTGTGTGATCTGTTTCTTAAATGTTAGTTGCTAATTATCAGCCCTGAAGGTTTTTTTTCATAATATTTGTGTACCTTTCACCTACACTTTTATGTGAGTAGTTAGAAATCAACGGGACGGTAACCATCGGTTGGATTGTTGGTGGATTGTTTGTTTGTTTGTTTGTTTGTCTGTCTGTCTGTCGGTCTGTCTGTCTGTTTGTTTTTTTTTATTTTTTATTTTTTTTTTACCCATTTTACAGAGGAATGCCATTTTACATAACAATTTTTTAAAATTAAATCCTGAAATATTAATGAGACAATATGCAAATTTTTATGTCTTAGAATATTGAACCTCCTCTTACAAATCTCAAGTATTTTAAGAACAAGAAAATCAGGTTAATGAAGTCTAGTATTTTTGAAATTAATATAAATATCTATATAAAGGTATACAAAACAGATTTGTTCAGAGTGAGTGTGCAGGAGGGAAGAATGATGATTAAAACTAATATGAATTATGTATACTTTTCTTTCAGTATTTAAATCAGCAAAAA